TAGGTCCCTCTTCCCTTAAGTATCTGTGAGAGCATGTGTGGGTCATAGAAAACCCAAGTCACTAGCAAAGAATCCCTGCCTCCTGAGCAGGCCCCTCGCTGCCGCCTTTTCTTGGCGGTGTGGTCATGCGAACATGTGGTTGTACCCTGACTGCTGTTTTGTGGGGCTCCCCATATATCGGGAGCATCTGCTTGCGGTATTAAATATTCAGTGCCAGCAGCATCTTGTGAAGCTGCCTGGTCGCCAGGGCAGGTGGTTGCTGGGCCCTTCACCGTCGGTGTCTCGGGTTAGGCTGGTTCCAGGGTGCCCAGCCTCAGCTGATCTGTGTTCCCCTCCCTTTTCCCTGGTGGGGTGCTGAGACCTGCGGTGTGCAGGGGGCAGGAGGGGCTGTCTATAGGTGAAGGCCTCGGCCTGTCATCCTCCGTAGCCTGGTGGGCACCTTGTCCCCATGCCACCCAGCAGTTACCCACAGTCACCTGGCCTTGTGGGAGCCATGGGTGATGACATTGCTGCTCTTTGGTGCACTCAGTCTCCACGCCTTGACCCCGTGAGTGTGCGAGTGCCTCGGTGTGCCAGGCAGTGTGCAGAACTCTGCACCTTCGTGGCTCCGAGAGAACGAGTAGAAGGATGACTTGGGATGCCCAGCAGGGAAAGCGGTGTTCACAGTTTGAAGTGAGGCACTCAGGGAAGGCTTCCATCTCATTAGTGTTTGTGACACAAGGGCCTTGACGACAGCTGGGGAGGAATGTCCTGTAGGAGAAAATGGTGAGTGCAAAGGCCCTGAAGCAGTATGTGCTTGGCTGGTGGGGACAGCTGGCCTCTGCAGGGAGCAGCCAGCCACCCCGGGTGAGGGTGGGAGGACAGGGCACGTCCCCAGGCCCCTGGCCTCGCCTAGACGGGGCTGCTGGCCCTTCTCATTCTCTCCGAGTTCTGCCTGCCCACTTATTGGGTGGGGTGGGGGTGGTGTTCTGACCTACCCAGCCTCCGAGGCCCAGCTCAGCTGTCGGCTCCAGTGAGGCCTCCTGACCCCCAAATAATTGCTCCCCAGGCTGTGCGCAGATCTGGGCGTGTCTGCAGGTGGCCAGCGCACACCCCTCGCTCCCCAATTAGGCGGCCTTCCTCAGGGGCCCTCGCTGGGACTGCAGAACCTGCCGTTGCCCAGGGACCTGTGGACTCTCAAGAAACAAAGGTGGATTGGTGGCAGCAGTGTGGTGTTACAGCAGCCACCTCTTCCTGAGCACCAGTGACAGACCCAGCGCTCGGCACCCTGGGCGATGGGCCACGCAGGCCCAGCCTGGGAGGCCCTGCTGGAGCTGCGATCCGAACCCAGGTGGTCTGGGTTCTGAGCCTGAGCTGGCTTTAAATCAAAATTGTGCGTGCTGTTTACATATCACCTGTTCTCATGGTTTGTAGTTCAGAAGTTCAAAAGCAGCGGTTGGCACAGGTAAACCAGGGGGTGGTCCCACTGCTGCTTGTTCTTGTAAACAAAGTGCCATGGTGGCATGGCCAGGCCCAGTTGTGTGCCGATGATCTGTGGCGCTTTCAGTGGTACCAGGCAGTCTTGTAGTCACGACAGTGACGGCGTAGCCCGCACAGCTGAAAATATTTGTGCTTTGGCCTTGCATAGGAGCGGTTGCCGCCCACTGTTCTAGGTTTGCAGTGGCTCCACCTCCTCTTCCAGCCACTCACAGGCTGCGACCAGATTCTTGCCCCTTGTCCACTTTTTGCACGTATAAGCAGCAGCTATGCGTTTATGTGGACCCCCGCCCTCCGTTTCTGTTTCACGGGTATTAGCATAACATACACACTGCCAGGCACCTGCGTCTTTTACTTAGCAGGAAACAGCCTGGAGATGACTCCCTATCAGAACATCTGCGGCTCTGGATTCTCTGTCCCCTGCTTCACAGTTGCATAGTTGGTCGTTTGGTGCCCAGGCTGCGTCAATGGGCATTCAGGCCACTGGCAGCCTCTGGCTGCTAGAAACCATTCTGTGGGATGTGTCCATCAGATTGTGCATGTGGGAGCGTGTCTGCAGTTGGGGCTCCTTAAATGTAGGGTTCGCTCTTTTTTGGGTTGTGGATTCGTAGTTTTGATAAATTGGGCTAATTGCTTTCCGCAGAGGCTTTCAGTCCTATCAGCCTATACCCTCCTCAGTTTTTATCAAGGTTTCGAATCTCTTTCAATCTTCCAATCAAATGGCTTCTCAGTGCAGTTTAAATTTTATTTTATTTTATTTTTGGCGGTTGGCTGGTACAGGGATCCGAACCGTGACTTTGGTGTTATCAGCACCATGCTCTGACCAACTGAGCTAACCGGCCAGCCCCTAAAAATTTTTTTAACTGAGATATAACTTACATACAATAAAATAGAGAGATATAGGCAGTTTGAGTTTTAACAAATGAATATACTGCAGTAACCCAGACTCCATCAAACTATGGAATATTCCCCTGGGACTCTTTCCATCCAGTCCTCGTTTCCCCAAGAGGGAACCACTGTTCTGCTTTCTGTCACTATTGATGAGGTTGTGTCTGTGCTAGAACTTGAGATCAGTGTTATATGCAGTGCATGCATCCTTGTGTCTGGCTTCTCCAGCTCAGCGTCATGTTTTGCGGCCCATCCCAGTCACTTCGTTGACCTCAGTTGGCTCTGCTGGGGGACTGCACCACAGCTTGTTTATTCTCCTAGTGAAGGGCACCTGGGTTATTTCCACTTTAGGGCTGTTGGGAATGAATTTACCACAGACATCCTTGTGCAAGTCCTTTTGTAGACATATTGCCATTTGTTTAGGGGGCAAATACATGGGAGCGGGATTGCTGGGATGTAGGGTGGTATATGTTTGTGAGGGCAGTTTTCCACAGTGGTTGTACCATTTCGTAACCCCACCGGCAGAGAGTTTATGTGCTCCACAGCCTCGTCAGCACTAGGAGTTCCCAGTCTTTGAATTTTAACCATCCTAGTGCACGTACAGAGGTTTTAAGCCAATCTTGCCGTCCTGGGACAAATCCCAGAGATCTGGAATATTTGCTAATACTTTGTTAAGGATTTTTACATCTATGCTCATGAGGAATATGTATCTATAATATTTCTTTCTCTTTTTTGGGGGGTTGCTGGCTGGTACAGGGATTGAGCCCTGAGCTTGGGCTCGGTGTTATCAGCACCACACTGTAACCAACTGAGCTAACCAGCCAGCCTATGATTTTTCTTTCTTGCTTCATCTTTGTCTGCTTTTTATTATTATTATTATTATTATTTTTTGACCAGTAAGGGGATCGTAACCCTCGGCACGGTGTCGTCCGCACCCATGCTCAGCCAGTGAGCGTACCGGCCATGCCTATGTAGGATCCAAACCCGCAGCCTCAGCGCTACCAGCACCGCACCCTCCCGAGTAAGCCACGGGGCCAGCCCTTTGTCTGCTTTTGGTATCGGGACTATGGCCTCATAAAATGGGTTGAGAAGTGTTTTTTCCTTCTCTATTTCCTGAAAAGTTTATGTAAAGTGTGTATGGTTTCGTCCCTAAACGTTTGATAGAATTCACCAATCTGGACTGGCAGTTTTCTCTGCAGAAAGGTTCTAATTATGAACTCAATTTCTTAACCAATAAAGAGCTTTTTCAAACTTTCTGTATCTTTTGATGCCAGTTCTGGTAAATTGTGTCTTTGGAAGAATTTATCCATTTCATGTACGTTTTTTATTTTTTATTTATTTTTTGTCCTTTTTGAGACCGGCCGCACCGCGCTCAGCCAGTGAGCGCTGTGAGTGCACCGGTCATCCCTATATAGGATCCGAACCCGCAGCGGGAGCACTGCTGCACTCCCAGCGCCACACTCTCCCGAGTGCGCCACAGGCTCGGCCCATGTATGTTGTTGAGTGCAGCTAGGAGTTTGCCCAAGAGCCCTGGGCTCTGGTGACTTCCTCTGCTGCTTATTTTCTGTTTTATAGACTTCTATTTTTATTTTTATTATTTCCTTCCTTCTAATGACTTTGGGTTTAATTTGTTCTTTTTTTCTGGCTTCTCATGGAGGAAACCTAAATCATTTATCTTAAACCTTTTTGTTTTTGTTTTTGTTTTTGTTTTGGCAGCTGGCTGGCATGGGAAACCAAACCCATGACCTTGGTGTTACAAGACTGTGTTCTAACTGACTGAGCCAACTGGCCAGTCACCTTTTTCTTTTTTAACATAAGGGTTAAAAGCTATAACTTTCCCTCTGAGGACTGCTTTGGCTGCATCTCATAAATGTTGGTATACTGTCTTTCCTAGTTTGGGTCAAAGCATTTTCTAACCACCCTGTGATTTTTGTCCAGTTATAAGTGAGAGGGAAGGGCCCAGACCCATAACCAGTGTGGTCTCCATCCCGTCACAGAACGTTCCCCAACCCCTGCACCCAGTAGGCACTTGGTGAGCACTGCTGAGGCCCTGTGCACAGTGTCTCCCAGGACTCTGCTGCGCTCCTCACGCCCCCACTGGGAGCCGGCCTCTTGTAACTCTTCTCTCTGTGCATTTGGAGGTTCATTTTCTTATCTCCTCCGCTGGCCTGTGAGTGCCCAAGGTGGGACCTCTGTCCAGGTGGAGTGGCTGGCCCAAGGGCACACAGAGAGCCCAGGCCAGAGCCAGGCTGTGTTGTTGGGGGGGGGGGGCAGGTGTCCACCAGCTGGGCACAGCCCTGCTCTTTGCCCCCCGGCTAAGCAGTGTTCTGTTTTCTAAATAGAGCTCCAGAGAACTGCGAAGGTCGCCCAGCTCCTAATGTGGCCCTGAATAGGAGCATGGGCAAGGAGGGGGCAGAAATGTTCCCTGAGTCACAGGCCAGGGTGCGCATCCCCCCAGGAAGGGGAGGGGTGTCCTCCCGCATCCTCCCCCCTGGGCAGCCCCCACCTCCATCCCACTCCTCTGTACAGTGCCTTCCTGTTTTTCTTTCCCAGTCTAACGATGGGCAGGTGCACTCACTTGGGCGTGGGTTCTTACCAGGTACCAGTCGTGACCCTGACCCTGTGTTTGTCTTCAGTTCCACAGAATAATGAGAAGCTTCAGGAGAGCCCGTGCATCTTTGCGTTGACACCGAGGCAGGTGGAGCTGATCCGGAACTCCAGGTGCGCTGTGCCCCCGCCCCAGCTCCCTGCTGGCCATCCGGCCATCTCAGTAGAGCCTTTGGCTATATCCGCTGCAGGCTCCACACTTGTCCAGACCATGTTCCCCAGCAGCGGCAGGGAACAGGAGTCATCCTTCTGGAAAACCCCACCCTGGTTTGCTGCCCTCACGTGCTGGGCCATGTGTGCAGCATTGGCATGTGCTTACTACCCCGAGAGGTGGACCAATTGTCCCGCTTTAACAGGGTCTCTCCCCTGGCACTGTGGACACTGGGACCGGATCCTTCTTTGTGGTGGGGCCATCCTGGGCACTGGAGGTACTGAGCAGCGTCCCTGGCCTCCACCTACTCCATGCCAGGAGCACTCTCCAGTTGTGACACTGCAACTGTTCCCAGATGTTGCCCAGTGTCCCCTGGGGGCAGAATTGCCCTGGGTGAGGACTGCTGAGCTGAACGTGTGGGGTCGAGGCTAGAAGTGGCCGCGCTGTCAGACCCCGGGTGTTCTCTGAGGCCCTTCTGTCTCCAGCTAAGACAGTAAGCCCTGCCGGGGCAGCCGCCTCTCAGACACCCCTCATGTGCTGGGCACATACCGAGTGCCCAGCACCTACCAGCCCGCTTAATACTCAGAGCAGCTCCGTTTTCTTTCTTTCTTTTTTTTTTTTTTGTGGCTGGCTGGTTTGGAGCTCCCTGTTTTGCAGAGGAGACTGACGCTTAAGACAGGGGAGGTCTGGGCCGGCCCGGTGGTGCACTGGAGAGTGCGCCGCCTGGGAGCACGGTGGCGCTCCCGCGAGGGTTCGGATCCCATGTGGAGACCGGTTCCCGCTCACTGGTTGAGCGCGGTGTGGGCGCAACACCGAGGGTTGCGATCCCGTTGCCGGTCCGGTCCCCGGTGCAGGCGCGACACCGAGGGTTGTGATCCTGTTACTGGTCAGTAAAAAAGACAAAAAGGAAAAAAAAAAAAAAGACAGGGGAGGTCGTTTGCCCAGGTCACCTGTGAGTCCATGGAAGGGCAGGGGTGAGAGCCCACAGCTGCCCCCTGGGTTCCTGTGTGACTTCAGAACTGCCGCCCCTGCCTTTTGGGGGTACAGGCCTGCTTCCTGTCCCCCCAGCCTCTCCGTCTGGCCCTTATGCCTGGGAAGGGCTCAGGATCGGCTGTGTTGGGCCCAGTGGCCACAGGGGCCTCTCCACCTGGTTAATCTCAGGTGCGACCTCACCTCTCTGAGCCTCATCTTCCTCATTTGTAAACCGGGTGTCATGACAGCTCCCACCTCCCGACTCAGTCCCTGCGCAGAGTGCTCAGCACCTGCTGCGTGGACGACACTCAATCCTGACAGTGGTGGTGACTCCGCTCCCAGGCCGCATCTGAGATCCTCACTGGGTGGACCACCAGGGCCCCAGCCTTCCTTCCTCATTCGGGCAAACTTTAGCAGCATTTGTGAGGATCCCTCCGTCAGTCCTGTCCTGCACTGGCTGTTTTCTTAGCAGATCTGCAGAATCATTTAGTGGGGTGGACCCAGTTGGGCGGGTGGGGGGCTTCCTTCCACTCAGGCATGGCCTTTCTGTGAACTGTTCTTCAGTCTAGTGCTTTCTTCCTGAAGCTCCTGTTCTTCCCTTAAGTTGAAATATAATGTATATTTTGCAGAATATACCATTTTGAAGTGTAGAATTCAGTGGCTGTTAGTGTATTCAGTAGGTTGTGCAACACTCACCCCTGCCTAATTACAGAACATTTTTGTCTCTGCCCATTAGCAGTCACTCCCCACCCCTCCCCCAGCCCCCGGCAACCACGAATCCACTTTCTCTCTGTGGATCATCCTGTTCTGGACATTTCATGTAAATGGAGTCACACACTGTGTGGCCTTGTGTGTCTGGCGTCTGTCCCTGCGTGTAATGTGTTCAAGGTCCATCCACGTGGTAGCGTGTGTTAGAGCCTCATTCCTTTTCCTGGCGGAGTGATGTTCCACTGTGTGGATGGACCACACTGTGTTTATCCAGTCATCTGTCCGTGGACACTTGGGCTGTCTTTGGCCGTTGGGAGTCATGCCACTGTGAGCATTTGTGTGCAGACGTGTTTCTCTGGGTAGACATTGTCTTCACTTCTCTTGGGTGCATTTCCTGTTAAAAGTTGATCCTGAGGTGTCCTTGGGTGATTTCTTTCTGTTGTGAATTGGCCGGTCGATTCCACTTGGCACATTTATAACTTTATTCATTCAGTGAATGAGCATGCACCTAGCTGCCTTCTCTTGTGGGGTGACTTCTCTCGTGTTTCCCAGGCAGGCAGGCCCCTTTCTGGTGGCCCCACAGGTATTCCTGTCTCATCCAGTCTGCACAAAAGGGTCCTGGGGCTTGGTTTCCCTGGCTCAGACAAAGGAGCCTTGCCTCTCCAAGGTCCCCGCCCCTGTTGGTCTGACCTGGGGGGATGAGTCCTCACCCCTGCCTTTTGGAGAAGGGTGTTTCCTCATTTTACTGTTGAGGAATGGGGGGTTCTAAGGGGCTCAGCTGCAGGCCTGCATCCCACAGCTCGTGCTTGGTCAGGTGGAGAGCTCAGGGCACCTGGTAGACAGCACAGGCCTCAGCCAAGATGTGACCATGGCCTGAAGCTGCAGCCCAGGGCCACTGGGCCCAGGGCAGGCTGTCAGGGCTCTGCTCCCTGTGCCTCTGGGCAGGGTGGTGTCCTCTTCCCAGCAAGGGCTAGGATGGCTGACATCTTCCTGGCAGCCCTTGCCCAGTGATGTTGGCACGAGGGTGCCGCCCAGCACAGGAGAGAAAGTTCTGGAGAGCAGCTGTCAGCCCCTAGCTGCCAGGTCAGCGTGGCGTGTGCGGCTCTCCTCCCTGCTGACCCTCCTTTCCTCCCCTTTATTTGCTCAATGTCCACAGAGAGCTGCAGCCCGGAGTCAAAGCCGTGCAGGTCGTCCTAAGGTAGGCCCAGGTGTGCCCACAGCCCCGGGAGGGACCCTCTGTCAGCCACCCCCACTTCCCCTGGCCCTGGGAGCCCCCTCCCAGGTTCCCTGGCCAGAGGTAGAGCCCTGGCTCCCCCTTCTGCCACCTGTTCTTGTCCATGGACACACCTTGATCTGGGGCCCCAAACCCCATGAGCAGTCCAGCCCCTTGTCACGTTCCCATCATCACCTCTGCCCTGGCCCCTGGGCCTCCTCTGCTTGGGTCTTCCTATGGCCCCATGGTCCCCGTTATGTTGCAGAATCTGTTACTCAGACACCAGCTGCCCTCAGGAAGACCAGTACCCACCCAACATTGCCGTGAAGGTCAATCACAGCTACTGCTCTGTCCCGGTGAGCCACGGTTGCCCTGGTGTCCACTGCAGGGTGGGGGCAGGGATGCCACTGTCCCAGCTGCGCTCGTGTCTGGCGCCAGTGGCCTGAGCCGGCCTGTTTGCTTCCAGGGCTACTACCCCTCAAACAAGCCCGGAGTGGAGCCCAAGAGGCCCTGCCGCCCCATCAACCTCACCCACCTCATGTACCTGTCCTCGGCCACCAACCGCATCACTGTCACCTGGGGGAACTATGGCAAGGTGAGAGCCCAGGGTTCCACCCACCCTGTCGCGCTGCTGGCACCTCCCTGGCCGGACCTGATGCCCCCTCTGCCCACAGAGCTACTCCGTGGCCTTGTACCTGGTGCGGCAGCTGACCTCGTCGGAGTTGCTGCAGAGATTGAAAACCATCGGAGTCAAGCACCCGGAGCTGTGCAAGGCACTTGGTGAGCCCACGGGGCTGGGGGTGGGCACGTCCCTGGGGCCCTTTCTTTGCCAGGCGTGAGGCCCCAGCCCTGGGAGGAGCTTCTGGTCTGTCGGGAGCCACTAGCAGCCAGCACCTAGTGGGGACCGGGCCTCCCAGGGTCTAGCTGTCAGGTCCCGGGAACCATCCATCCCCCCGGGGATCTGCAGCACCGGCCTGAGAGGAGGGGGCAAGCTGGGGAGTGGTGTCTCGTTTTGAGGCAGAGCTTTGGGAGGGCTGCCAGGGGACCAAGGTGATCCATGTCCCAGCAGACCCTGCTGGCTGTGGGGCGGGTTCCCATTAGACGGAGGAGGGTGGTGGAAGGTCTGACCGTAAATGGCGAGTCTGTTTTTCAAGTACTTTGTACTTATAACAACTGAATATTAGGGGGAAAAAAGTGACGTTAGGCACGCGAACAGAAGGATGGAGGAGGGTGGTGGAAGGTCTGACCGTAAATGGCGAGTCTGTTTTTCAAGTTCTTTGTACTTATAACAACTGAATATTAGGGGGAAAAAAGTGACGTTAGGCACGCGAACAGAAAAGACTGGACCCCCAAGACTGGCAGGCAGACAGGGTCCCATTTCTCTTGCTGAGTCCCTGCTCCCAGTGGCTGCCGAGCACAGCCCCATAGCTGTGTGCCCTCAGGCAACGTGCTGGCCCTCGCTGGTGGCCACTTTCTTCTTCAGAGCAGACCTGAACTATCTCAGGGACTCCTGGCCCTCTCTGTGGGCCCCACCTAGCAGGGTCCTAGCTGTGATGGGTTCTGCTGGCCTGTCCTGTGGAAGGGGTTGGGGATGGGGCCTGGCCCAGAGTCCCTGTTAGCTGAGTGCAAGCTCGGAGGCTGGGGATGGGTGGGTGGCCTGTCAGGTTGAGTGGAGGGAGGCTGGCTGGGTTTGCTGGGATCCACTTCCACAGTGGTAGCTGTTTCAGGTGGACCCTGGTGCTAACCCAGCCACTCTGCAGAACTCGGGTGGGGAGGGTCCCACTCGCTTTCCTGCCCAGCACCACCCGGCCAGGCCCCTGCCTCTGCTCTTGGCTGCGCAGCTGTGTCCCCCAGCCTGGGTGTCTGGAGTCTGGAGAGGTGCTGGTATTCCCGAGGGGCTTGTAAGCCTGGTCGTGTTGAAGCCTCCTGTCCACCCTGGCCCCTGAGGTAGGAGATGTGGCAGTCAGCACCCCTCTCCGGAGGACATGGAGGGGCAGCCCAGGAGTCCCCGCTCCCAGGCCAGCACCCACCAGGCCTTGGGCTGACTCGTGGGGACACAGACACAGAGTGGCAGAGTGAGGCCCATGTACCGCAGGCCTTGGTCCGTGCATCCTGCTGCCTCCCTCTTCCCTCAAAGGGCCCTTTTTTCACCCCCACTCCCCCCTGCCATCTCCTTGTGGGACAGTGACTGACTCGACCAGGAAGGGCAGGTGTGGGGCTGGGCAGCCTGATGTGGCACTGGCCCATGGGCTGGGGCCTGGCTTAACTCCTCAGTGACCGGTGAGGAACCAGGGCCTGAGGCCTCAGCCCTGCAGCCCTGGGGACTGTGTGGCAGTCATGATGACCCTGGTCCTGCCTGCACCGTAGGGTCCAGTTTCCTCTAAAGCAAGCCCTGTCTGTCTTTCCATGGCCAGCCCCAGGCTTGTCATCTTTGCCACTGGCTTTCTCTCTGGTCACAGCCGGGAAGTCCTGTCCTTTGTCTCACTGACCCCACCCTGCTGTGCACACCAGTTCTTACCAGGGGAGGAGGGAGACCTTGATATAACAGACGCATGCCTGTGTCTTCTGCTCTGTTTTTTTTTGTCTTTTTTTTTTTTTTTTACGTAACCGGTGAGGGGATCGCAACCCTTGGTGTGGTGTCGCCCACACCGCGCTCAGCCAGCGAGCGCACCGTCCATTCCTATATAGGATCCGAACCCGCGGCGGGAGCGTCGCTGCGCTCCCAGCGCCGCACTCTCCTGAGTGCACCACAGGCTCGGCCCTTCTGCTCTGTTTTGAGAGGCCAGGGCCTGTGGGTACATCATCAGGACTTGTTAGTCAGAGCCGGAGCCAAGTGTGGACATTTATACTGAGGTGTGAATGACTGATGGAAACTTGGGGCACAGGAGGCCGAGGTGCTGAGGGCCGGGGGTCAGCAAGGGAAGTGGATCCTGAGCTTCCAGGGATAAGCAGTTTTCCAGCAGGTGAGGGGGCGGGGAGGAAGGTCCAGGCAGAGAAAACAGTCGGTGTCAGGACAGCTGGGGGTGGGGAGGAGGACCAGCCAGGCAGGTCACCCTCAGCCTCGCGTGGGACGGGCTGGTGTCATCCTGGGGGAGGGGACACGGGTTCCTCAGGCGGCCGGCTGTGTCTGGGGCTCTGGGGCTCTGGACTGCCGTGGTCTCTGCCCTGAGGGGCCGGGGCCTTGACTGAGCCCTCTGTGGCTGGAGTTTAACCATGCGCGCGCCTGATTATGGGCCGGTTTCCCCACCGTTCTGGAGAGGATGCAGCAAGACATCTAGGGAGAAGCCGGTGCCCCTGCACCCACCCTGCTCTTGGGGGGATTTCCTTCCAGCCTGTAGGATTTCCTTCTTGCTGTGCGAGGCCTTCGCGGTTTGTTGTGTGTTTTCTACGTTACATGTGGCCTTGTGGCAGGCGCTGTCTTTCCCTGTGTGGTAGAAGTTAGACTTCAGGGGCTGGCCGGTTAGCTCGGTTAGTTAGAGCACGGTGCTGATAACAGCAGGTCCAGAGTTTGATCCCTATACTGGCCAGCTGCCGGAAAAAACAAACAAATAAAAAAAGACTTCACCATGCAAGGAAGCCACACTCTGTGGGTTTGTGACCTGCCTCTGGTGGCAGTGCTGGCGGCTGGGCATCGGTTGCTTGCTTCCCCGTCCTCTGCTGGGATGGCAGAGGCTACGAGGTCTGCCTTGGAAGGAGAATCCCTGCCTCATTCCTGGCTGCATCTTGGGGGATGGTGTTTTGGCTGCACAATTGACAGTCACAGTGGATGGCTCTGTTGGTGGCTGTGTGTTGCCTGGATCTTTCCAGAAAAGTTCTGTGAGTTGTAGAAAGCCCCAATGGGTGGGTGGGGAAAATGCTGTCGTTTGCCTGTGTGTTGGGGTACCGCTGGGTATGTGATGTACCTGGGGGGTGATCAGACACGACACCCTCTTCCAGATGTCCCTAATCACCCTGAGCTGTGGGGCTGGAGCTGGGTCTCGTCATCCGGGAGGGACCTCTTCTGGGAGATGGATGTCAGGTGCTGTGCAGACCATGCTGGAGAAACTCCGAGGATTGCCCTGGCTGCCTGAGTCTCCTGCCTTCTAACAGTGTCCTCTGTCCCCTTTTCCCACAGTCAAAGAGAAGCTGCGCCTCGATCCTGACAGCGAGATCGCCACCACCGGCGTGCGGGTCTCCCTCATCTGCCCGGTGAGTCGGGCCCCCGCATGCACCTCTTAGAGCCCGCTCTTGCACGGGGTGGCAGTTCTTGGCTGGTCAGCGAGCTCACCTAGGGCAGCGGTGGTCTTGGTCTTAGTCCCCTTGGAGTCCCTAAGGCAGCAAACGAAAGATCAGACAGAGCTGGGGGGACAGTGAAGGGCAGGGTGACCAGGGCCAGGCAGGGTCGGGCGGGGTGGCCTGGGTGGTCTGCTCACACCCGCCACCTCCTGCAGCTGGTGAAGATGCGGCTCTCGGTGCCCTGCCGGGCAGAGACCTGCGCCCACCTGCAGTGCTTCGACGCCGTCTTCTACCTGCAGATGAACGAGAAGAAGCCCACCTGGATGTGCCCGGTGTGCGACAAGCCAGCCCCCTACGACCAGCTCATCATTGATGGGTGAGTCTCGGGGAGTGGGAGCCAGCCCGCTGAGTGCTGTGTGGAAGGGACAGCAGAGCTGGATGCCCGCTGAGGTCTCCGTAGCTTCCGACTTTCTGGAGACACTGGGCTGCATCAGCTGGTGGGCACGAGCGTCCCCGCAGGACTAATCAGAGCCTTTGCTTTGCAGGAGGCAGCAGTGTAGCTTAGGCTTCAGGAGCTGGCCTCTGCCTTGCCCTTGCTCCCCATGTGATCTTTTTTTTTTTTTCCTTTTTGTCTTTTTTCGTGACCGGTAACGGGATCGCAACCCTCGGTGTCGCGCCCGCACCGCGCTCAACCAGTGAGCGGACCGGTCTCTATATGGGATCAGAACCCTCGGCAGGAGCGCTGCCCTCTACCGAGTGCGCCACCGGGCCGGCCCACTCCCCATGTGATCTTGAGCTCTCTGAGTCTGACCTGAGCGCCCCAGCCTCAAGGCCGCGAAGGGACTCGGGGCTGCTTTCCAAAGGCGTCCCACCCCGAGAAAACACAGAGGGGTGAGAGAGACAACTATCTCCCCTGAAGTTCTGGTGGACACCCATTCGTCCCCTTCCTGGGGGGCACCATCCTGAAGCTAGGCTGTTCCCCTGTTCCCACCAGCAGCCCCTCTGCATGCCACAGGGGGACAAGGAGGGCAAGTCCTTTGTCCCCGAAAGGGAAACTCTGCTCAGGTCTTAAGTTTCCAGAAACTGAGCCCTGTTGTCTGTGGCACCTGATGTGGCTCCGGCCAGGCGCCGGCCACACCCACCTGCTGTCCCCAGGGCCACCAGGCAGGGCGTGAGGCCGTGCTCTCGCAGAGGGAGAGGCAGCAGCTAGGGGTGCAGGCCGCGGCCAGGCCAGGCCGTAGCCTCAGGGGGCACTTGGGGAGGCCTCCGACCTGCAGCGGCTGGGCTTGGCTCTGGGCGTCTAGATTTGTTCCCCAAGTGGACCCCTTATTCCAGCGCTTGTCTGTGTCCCAGGAGGCAGGCCTTTGATCCTCTCCACTTCACTGGTGAGGAAACTGAGGCTTGGAGGAGGCAGCCACCAGCTTCACACTGCCCACAGCTCGCAGGTGGCTGGGCTAGGACTTGAACCCAGGTCTGGACAGCTCTGACCTGGGTCCTCTCCCTGCAAGGGCCGAGCCACCTCCCCCATGCTGTCCAGCCTTGGTGCGGAGCATGGAGGCCTCTGGGCCGGGCACGTGGGCTAGGCCTGAATAGCCGCTCTGTTCCTGCCTGGCAGCTGTGCGGCCCAGCGCCCACCCTCCCCCCACAGGCCCAGAGCGGCTCACTCGGGCTTGGGTGGTAGCAGCTCTGATGGCTCCAGAGGCTGATGGGGCTGGGGCAGGTTGCTTTGTCCCATGGGGCCTGGACATAGCCAGGGAGGCTTTCTGGAGGAGAGATTTTTGGTTTGTACATGTATTCCATGAGGTTCTGCCACCTTGTCTGGCTCTGGCCCTGAGCTTGCTGGCCCTGGCATCCCCAAAATGACACTGTCCCAGACCCTGCCTTCAGGGAATTCTCTGGAGGGCTACTGGAGGGGCACAGACACTCTCAGTGCTACGTCTCCATCTTGGGGAGGAGGAAGAGGAGCTGTGGGGTGGGGTTTGTGGAGGAGTAGCTTCCAGGTGGGGAGGTGCCTTACAGCAGAGGGCTGGGTTCACAGCCAGGGGGGACTCTGGTGTGGAGGGTCTGAGTGCGACAGTACAGAGATCTCAGGGTGCGGTGGGGGCTGACCAGAGCTAGACAGGCCTCTGTCCTGTGTGCCCCCTGTGGCCTGCGTGGGCACGTGGCCTCTCCTAAGGACCCTCCCCCGCTGCTGCTGCTGCTGCGCCTGCCTCACCCTGCAGGCGGGGACACCAAGACCCTGTGGCCAGGAAGTGGGGGGGCGGGACGGGGTGGAGCCGAAACCAGGGCCTGTTTCCGACTGGCCTTGTGGTCTTAGAGCTGTCCTCCCTGCCTGGCCTCTCCTTTCTCATCTGTAAAATGGGCTGGTGGCACCCCTGAGTGCGGTGTGCTCGGGGGCGCTGCTGTTCATATGCAAGTGAGGTGGCCCCCACTCTGCCCACAGCCTCTCCTAGGGCCGCTCCTTCCCTCCAAACCTCACCACCTCACCTGTCAGGCGGACGCCCCTATCTCCAGGCCGGCTGTCCTCGAGCAAAGTCCCCTCTTCTTTGAAAGAGCAGGGAGGCAGTACAGACAGGGCCGCTCCTTCCCTCCAAACCTCACCACCTCACCTGTCAGGCGGACGCCCCTATCCCCAGGCCGGCTGTCCTCGAGCAAAGTCCCCTCTTCTTTGAAAGAGCAGGGAGGCAGTACAGAACCGAGATCAGAGGGAGAATGTGGAGGTGGGGTGGGCAGGGACCCTCAGGCCGCCCAGGCCCGGCCTCTCGAGGGCACTCGGAGGGAAGGTCACCACTCTGTGGTCTCCTCCTGGAGGGCTTGGCTCTGCAGGCTCTGCACGGTTGGCTGGGGTGGGGAGACAGGGTGATCAGCTCCCAGGACTCTCAAGGACGCCCTGTCAGGCATGGTCTTGAAGCCACTGCTGCAGAGAGGTGGGGAGTGACCCAGCACACCCCAAGCTCAGCCGCTTGAGGGAGCGGCCAGGTGTGGCAGAGCAGGGCAGGGGCGTATCCAGCCCAGCCCAGCATCAGCCCCCTGCCCACCTGCCCCAGGCTCCTCTCCAAGATCCTGAACGAGTGCCAGGACGCCGATGAGATCGAGTACCTGGTGGACGGCTCATGGTGCCCGATCCGCGCTGAGAAGGAACGGAGCTGCAGTCCCCAGGGCCCCATCCTTGTGCTCGGTGAGTCCCTCTGGTGCCCATGGCTAGTGCAGCATTTTTGTGGAAAACACAAAGATGGAGCCTGGTGGAGCTGATCCCTGGTCGGGGGGCCAGACTGAGGGCTGCGCGCTGCAGACGGGCACAGCGTATGGGCGAGGCCTGCTGTGAGCCCGGCTGGCCTCAGTTTCCCTGCTCTGTAAGCTGATGGCGTCCTAAGCACCGGTGTCCCCATCCCTTTGCCTGCAGGCACCTCAGATGCCAATGGGCTACTGCCCACCCCCAATGTCAACGGCAGCAGCACGCTCAGTGGTGTGGGTGGCGGGGGCAGCTCGGTCAGCGGCGTGGAGAATGGGAAGCCGGGGGCCGACGTGGTGGACCTCACGCTGGACAGCTCGTCGTCCTCGGAGGACGAGGACGAGGAAGATGAGGACGAGGACGAGGACGAGGAGGGCCCGCGGCCCAAGCGGCGCTGCCCCTTCCAGAAGGGCCTGGTGCCAGCCTGCTGATGCCGGCGCGGACACACGACTTTCCTGGTGCTCACCACGCGGAGGGGCGCGGGCCAGCCTCGGGGTGCAGGGGCGGGTGGCGATTTTCTTCTTTCTGTTGTTGTTTGTTTTCTTTTTCCACCCCTTTCCCTGGCTCCTGGCACCTGTACCTCTCTGGACTCTCCTATCCGGGGATTAAAAAAAAAGGAAAATGACAAAAAAAAAAAAAAAAAAAAAAAAAAAAAAAAAAAAAAAAAAAAAATTTTTTAAAAAAAAAAAATGAAACAAAAAAATCAAACTCTTAAAAACGAGGCAAGCCACCCACACAGCTGCTTCCCCAGCCGGACGGGGTCCGAGTCCCGGAGACGAGCTGCCCCCGGGGAGGGGCAGTGGGTAGGAGGGACCCAGGAAGCCCCCCGTGCCCGCCCCTCCACAACGTCCCCCCGCTACCTGCCGTCCTCTCCCCATGACCATTCCGACAGGTGCAGAGGGACCCGGGCGGGGCGGCCACTCTCTCTGGCGACGACCACTTTGACATTCGTCTGTTCCTTTGCTTTCCTCTCTTTGCAAATGTGTCTTCTCGCCCGGAGACCCTCGAGCGCCCGAGCAGCAAGCGTTTTAGCCAAGAAGCCATGGAGTGGGTTGGGGCAGGGAGGGGGCTGTGGGTGGGAGGGATGGGCAGGGGGCAGGGTTGGGGGGCTGGGGAGGGCTTAGCCACAGATGTGTTGTATTTTTTGAAAGTGCAATAACTTGGTATTTTGAAGACCCAGCATGTGGCCAGGACCCCCCAGGGAAGGTGGGGGCCCCAGGGTGTGGCACCATGTGGCGTGGGGGGGTCTCAGTTTTCTAGCCAGCTACCTCGGTAACTCCAATTCAGGTTAACTTCCCTACGGAACAGCACAGATGTCCACAGTTGCCACCGTCACGGCCGCCAGCACTCCGGCCAGCGGGGCAGGGAGGGCGGCCACTTCCCGAGGGGCAGCAAGGACTCTGGCCGCTTGTCTCTTGACGTGGGCTGGTTCCTCTCCCTTCTTCTTGCTCTTGGGTTTATCCAACGGGTATGAGGCTCGCCTGGTGCCCCCTCCCCTGGGAGCCTCGCTCTTCCAACAGGACTGGGCTGGGGGCCACCCTCCAGGCCCCAGCCCAGCCCGGGGGCGCTCCTGGCCCCTCCGCTCTGCCTCTCCAGGGCCCTCAGCCAGGCCCTTGGCCTCAGGGGTCCAGCAGCTGTGGGGGCTTCCCTGAGATGCCTCCAGGAACCCGCAGCTGGGTGCCCCCCAGCATCCTCGCCCCGAGGAGGCATCGGGGTGCAGGAGCGGCCTCGGCCTCACTAGTGCTCAGTCCACCCTGCCCGCCCTGGGTTTTGCTTTTCTTCTTCCCGGCCTCCCCCCCCCCCCCCCCCCCCCCCCC